CCACTCCTATTGCCAAGATTTCCCTTATATACATTGCACTAGGCCTCATAATCGTTGGTGACAACTTAATGTACTCATATGGCCTCCTTTATCTTTCTGCCTCCACCTATGCTCTTGTATGTGCCACTCAATTGGCCTTCAATGCCATTTTCTCTTACTTCCTCAACTCTCAGAAGTTCACCCTGCTGATCTTCAACTCTGTTGTCCTTCTTACTTTCTCTGCGGCCCTTTTAGGAGTCGACGAGGACTCTGGTACTCCTGAAGGCGTTTCCAAGGGGAAGTATGCACTTGGATTTATCTTAACAGTCGGAGCGTCAGCTGCCTATTCGCTCATCCTCTCCTTGATGCAATTAACCTTCCAAAAGGTTCAAAAGAGGGAAAATTTTTCGGTGGTGTTGGAAATGCAATTATATACTGCATTGGTGGCTTCTTGTGGTTCGGTTGTTGGTCTATTTGCGAGTGGAGAGTGGAAAGGATTGAAGGGGGAGATGGATGGATTTGCCAAGGGGAAGGTTGCTTATATGATGACTTTGGTGTGGACTGGAGTTTCATGGCAAGTTGCTTCTGTTGGAGTTGTGGGGTTAATCTTTGTTGTATCGTCTCTGTTCTCAAATGTGATCAGCACCTTGGCTTTTCCGGTTGTGCCAGTATTTGCGGTGATATTCTTCCGTGATAAGATGGATGGAGTAAAAGTGATGGCAATGCTAATAGCAATTTGGGGTTTTGTTTCTTACATGTATCAGCAATACCTCGATGAGTCTAAGGAAAATAAGGCTGTTGACAACAATGAAGGTTCTTATTCTGCTGCATCCCGTCGAGATTAAGAAAGAGGAGCTGTCCTTCTATTTATTTTACATGCAAATCATTTTTTTGTGTCAGGGTTATGCCAGTATGTCCCTTCGATGGTAATTATTCTTCTATGTTGTTTTTTTGCCCCTTATTTGATTTTGTCATTAGATCTTATGTGAAATTATATTATTTGGCTCACTTAGCCCATGTTCGCTTATAGTTTATCAGCAATCTCTATATCTCAATTGTTTAATAGAGCGTACATTCTGAATTATGAATTTGTCTTCATGTATTTTTCTCTGCAAACCAGGATGAGTCTCGATTATTTACTTGCAATACATGCCTATTATTGTGCATCTGGGTTTATATATTTTCTCTGGTGGAAAGACATGGATGTCCTTGTTCATTTACAGCTAATTTTATCTAATTACTTTGTACTCATAAATAAGTACAGTGTGCAAAATTTTGTTTTGACTTATTAAGAATCTCTTGATAAATAATTTGCTATGCTTGCTTGGGACTTCTAGGTAAGGCTACTGACAACTATTCTGTGTCTTACTTTGTTCACTTTTCTGGATATTGATAATGGTTGATCCTCACTATTTCTGTCTAGTATCGGTAAAGGCACTGCACTGGGTAAACATTAGATTTCCAATATAATGAGAGTTCATTTGCTTGTGATGATACTATCATTGGATTTGACAACTACAAGATGTACGTGTATAAGACACCTCACATGTTTTCTTTGATGATTTTATTTAAAAAAAACTATTTGGAAGTTGAATGGGCCAGTGGCATGTTTGCAACCTGCTACTTTTTTATAGCAATATGACCGGTAATATTTTTGAAATTGGTTTTTGAGATAACACGATTTCTATGTTGAGGATGACAGAGGTTTCCATGCAATTGTGATGGGAATTTATGGTCATAAGCTTTACTCTTGTACTTTAGTCATCACCAGAACCATGTCATTCTCTTTACCTGATAGTTGATGCATAAATTTCGAAGTCCAAAATGGTTCCCACAACACATTAAATTACAACATGTTTCGTCATGCTTACTTTATCTCTGTAATGAGACCACTTAGCATTTGGATTTTCTGAACTGCTATAAATTGCTAGTATTAGTCAAAGATATTGTGCTAGTCGGTCCCATGACATCAGAAGGAATCAACAAACATTGGATTTATCTTTTCAGAATATAGCAGGTCAAGTATTCTTTGTGTCTGATTGTGTACGATGTGATGGGAAAAGAGAAAACATTGTTCATTTTCACTAGTTGAAGATTTCATTGATTTACAATTGAAATTTCTCTACGAAACAAGGGGAATGACTTGCTGAACCATATAATGGAGATGTATCAACTGACAAGCAGAAAGATGGCTGTTTTGGTTTTATTTAGGAAGAAAATCCTCAGTAAATTGATAGGGACTCTATAAAATGCCCATAGAGGGAGCTGGGAGTTGGTAATTCTAACTTCTTTCTTACTAGAGTAATTACCACACTTATGTAGCATCAGTAGCTCTTCTTACTCACGTCATTAAGCATGGACAATTCTTTTTGCTTATCTGAACTAATATTTAAATATTGGATTCTGTTTATTCTGGTGTAAGAATTAGAGTCTCAAACTTCCTAGGAAGTTATTGAATGATTCACTAATTCATTGATTGCATTACCAATGGTTTATCCTTCCTTTTTAATTCCTTACAATTGGCATCAGAATTTTGGGGGATACATTATTGGTGTAATGCAATTGATCTGGGTCTAACCCTGCATTGCTTGGATATGACAGCAGATGCAAGAAATGGAGAAATATCATGGTGATTTATGGGTGGCTTAAATAAAATATTTAGATTTTGGGCATAAAATATCATGGTGATACACTAGTTACTGTAACAAAATCATAGGCAGGGATAAAGTTCTCATATTAACTGTTAGTGTAGTTATGATAATGGCTCAACACAAATTGACCACATGAATGTATATATCAAACTCAAATTTGGGTAAGCAGTAATTTTGACACATATCTTCCTACTTGGCGTGGATCATGATGAGTTATCAAACCCTGCTGGTCTTGTTGCATATCCTCCTAGTTTGACACATATCCTCAGCTCAAGATGCCATGGTTATAAGTTTCAGTTGAACAAACGAGAAATGCAATGATACAAGCATACTTCATAGTACTTCTTGATGGCCTTAGCCCTTCTTGGGGTCCGTGCTGGCTCTGAAGATACTAACGGTTTATCCAAAAGTAAGTATCCTCTAGGGTTTGTACTTACCCTTGGAGCCTCAGCTGTCTTCTCGCTCACCCTCTCTCTAATGCAGTCTTCTCGCTCATCCTCTCTCTAATGCAGTATGCATTTCAGAAGGCTCTAAAGCAGGAGACATTCTCTGCTGTGTTGGAGATGCAATTATGTACTAATCTCGTTGCAACCTGTGTAACGGTTGTTGGGTTTTTCATTAACGGGGGTTGGAGGGTATTGAGTAACGAGATGTTAGGGTTTGAGAAGGGAAAGGTGCTGTATTTGATGACATTGATTTGGACGGCAATAACTTGGCAAGTGTCTTTTGTGGGTAGTATTGGGCTGATACATATGGTGTCATCGTTGTTTGCTAATGTGATAAGCACGCTGGCGTTGCCCATTGTGCCTATTTTTGCTGTGGTTTTCTTTCATGACGAGATGGATGGGGTGAAGGTGGTGGCTATGTTGATTGCAGTATGGGGTTTTCTTTCGTACATTTATCAGCATTATCTTGATGATTCTAGGCAGAAGAAGGATAGAAGAACAGAGCTATTATAGGTGAAAGAAGGTCCTAGGAAATTGAGAAGTACTATATAACGCTAATATAGGGATTTGTGTGAGTTCTAACTTCTTTCTTCTGAGTAATTACCATCACTTATGTATCATCAGTAGCTCTTATCAAACTTTAGTTAATACAATAAATGCAAAAAATTACTAGGCTTCTTTCTCATCGGATTTCGGCATTTGTGATAGTATTATTATTATGCATGGGTATTTCTTTTTTTCATTTTCTACTTGAACTGATATTTATTATTTAGTAGTGTAGTCTGTTTATTCTGTTGTAAGGATTAGGCTCTCAAAATTTCTAGGAATTATTGAACAATTCATTAATTGCATTACCAGTGCTTTATCTTTCTATTTTAACACCTAACAAGCGGCATCAGAATTTCAGTGATAATGCAGCATAGTGATACATACCGTTGGTATAATGCAAGTAATCTTGGTCTAACCCTGCATTGCTTGGGTAGTGATAGTGAATGCAATAAATGGAGAAATACGGTTCATGAACGAACTGACAAGCAATTCAGTGTTTTATGAGTGGCTTATAAAAATCAACCATATCTTTAGGCCTCAGTCTTAAAATTTCATGGACTGAAACAAAACGAAAGTAAGGGAAAAAGTTTCCATTTAAAGTTATGGTGGAGGCTCCATGCAGATTGACAACATTGATGTTTAACTACACAAAGAATGCTTAGATATTCATACTTCTGGTGAGTTATCTGGCATCAATTTTGAGTAGGTGGTCGTACACCTCATTGAGTTCTTATACAATAGAGCCTTGGAACTACATTCCTTTCTTTTGGAGAAAGCCTAGAACTATTCTCGTGAAAAAGTTGGGTTGCTACTGATATTGATACTGCTGGTTTTGTCATATATCTTCCTTGTTTTGGTGCATATCCTCACCTGAAGACATCATGTTTATAGTTTTCTTCTGAAGCATCGGGATGCTTTTTTTATCCTCAACCAGTTTTTATCTATCTAATTCTTCAAAAAGGATGCAGGTTCTGTGCAATTGGTATATGCTTAGGCATTTGGCAAGTAAGTGAGCTAGTTTAAATTTTATGATTACTGATATTGTTGATTGATCTTTTTTTGGTGAACAGGATGAAACATGGATCTTACAAGATTTTGTGGAAGTTGATATTTATAAATCGACGCAAGTGCTAGCTTATGTTAGTGCTAATCTAACATGTAAAGTTATTTCCTCTAGTTACTCTACCTAGCTTCTTGTATGATGATTAGTTTAACTTTTGGTAGTAGGAAAAGTCAGTTGATACTTTTCCTAGTGGCGATATAAGGTTAAGCTTGCTATCCCTGTCATCTGGTGTAATGAAAGGGATATGAAGAGCTGCAATCAGCAGGAGTGACTAGCTAGCTAATATCCAAATTAATGAGGTGAGAAGGGATGATTCAAACTCTATTTGCACCATACGTTTTGCCCATCCCTCAATTCAAATACAAGGACAGCCTGCAGGTATGAAGGTCTATAAATTAACTCTTATGATAATTTTTTTTTATACATAGTGGGAGAAATGGCTGGTAGTAGCAGAGGGCTAAAACTCAGGGGCACACTTCAGAGCTGAAGAAGTACTCACCTGTTTCAAGAGCCAGAGCCTCCCCCACCCACCTCCCTGACCCCCCACCCGATCTCCTATTCTTCTCTCCTTCCCTTCTAAGTATGGGCGATCTTGGTGAAATTCAGCTCCACATTAGAGGTCAGAATCCTTCCTATCTTTATATTTTATTAAGTATGTAAGGTTATTAGTGCTATAATTTATGATTTAACTTGTATTATATAATCATAACGAATTTCGACTTGGGGTTTTGTATGTGAACCCATTAAATCATGTGAATTTACAAAACTACTCCCCAAATCTCAGTATTTGCAAAACTATTCCCAGATCATCAACTTGGGGAAATATCCCAAAAAAATCAAGAAGTCGTCGACTTTGATTGTCTAATATGTAACTGCAAGTCTACAACAGGGCAGTGGTAAAAACAATTAACAAAATTGTGAAACTTTTACTCACCATATCCAAATAGTTGACGATTTGTTGATTCGACAGTGCGGTTATCTTTTTCGCAAAGTTGATGATTTGGCGTAGTTTTGCACATGATAGGATTCTGGGGGTGGTTTTGTAAACATACATGATTTAAGGGGTATATATACGAGAACCCTTACTTATTTTATCTATAGCTATATGGGTCCCTCTTATGGTGATTGATTTACTTTCTTATAAGTTGCATAGCTGTCTTTTAAGGGATTTGGATCCTTTGCCTTGTCACTTTGACAGTAGAAGGACCATCTAGCCTAGGATTCATTCCTAATATAACTAATATGATACACCTCATGAATTATACTCATTCCCATTTTTCGCATGAGATAAATCATGGCCATCAAGTATCTGGTATATGTTTATAATAGAAAAAGGCCATCTCTTGACTACCTAGCCGCAGCGAAGATTATCTAAATCCTTATCAAAGCTAGTAAGTATGAGAAGAGGTAGTTGTGGCTAGTTTAACATTCCTCCTTATTTGCATATCACGCATGCATTGCACGCACTGGTACAGACTACAACATACTTCATAGCATTTTTCAAATTAATCTTGTTATTTAAACGTGCTCATGTACCCGCCCAAGCTTCAATTTTGAAACCAAGTGCATTTATATTAGGGTTAATTGCACATAGACCCCTATGGTATTGTTGTTTTAACTTACTACCCCTGTAGTTTCCCCGTAGTAGACCCTATGGATAAAATACGCCTCTCATTTAACACATTTAAACTTCAAACCGAGACATGACAAAATACTCCGCTCTCCCTCAACAATATTTTTTTGGGGTGGGGGGAGGGGTGGTGGTTTCTCTGGATAGCCCCCGCGTCCCCCTATTTTGCAGATTTACCCCAAATCTGTATATTTGCAAATTTATCCCTATGGATTTGACGGTGTTAGATGGAAGGGGTATAAAAATCCGATGTGGGAGAATAAACGGGTAGCAAATATACAAATTTGAGGGCTAAACCTGCCAACAGGACAGATTTGGTGTGTGTATACTGTATTAGGGAAGCAACGCTGAATTATCTCACTTCTTAAGAGTGATGACGTTGTTACATGCAGACTTCCAAACAGGAGAACCCCTGGCACCCCCAAGCTCGCCAAAAGTGGCTGCTGCACCCCAAGCTCGCCAAAAGTGGCTGCTGCAACAAGCCAACAATACCATCATCCATCTTCAAGCACTGGCAATGGTGGTTAACGGTGGCCCTCTGCACCTTCTTCGTCCTCGCTGGCCAAACTGTACCAAGGAGGCAGTAGTATGTGGATGGCCACTTTAGTCCAATCTGCAGGCTGCCCTCTCCTCCTCATCCCCTACCTCCTCTTTCCTCCGTCATCAAACCCTAATCCCCTCCCTCGCCCCCCTCTACCAAAGACCGCGTTGATATACATCGGTTTAGGGCTCATCATTGCCGGTGACAACTTGATGTACTCTTATGGCCTCCTCTACCTCCCGCTCTCAACCTATTCTTTAGTTTGCGCGTCGCAGCTCGCCTTCAATGTAATCTTCTCTTACTTCCTCAATGCCCAAAAGCTCACAGCGCTGATATTCAACTCCGTCATGCTTCTCACTCTCTCTGCAACCCTTCTTGGGGTCCGTTCCGATTCTGATGATTCTATCGGCGTATCGAAAAGCAAGCAAGCCCTAGGGTTTGTGCTCACCCTAACAGCCTCAGCTGTCTTGTCGCTCCTCCTCTCCCTAACCCAATGCGCATTTCAAAAAGTTTTCAGGCGGCAGACGTTTTTTTTCGTGCTAGAGGTGCAACTGTGTACTAATCTCGTCGCGGCCTGTGCAACAGTTGTTGGGCTATTCGTTAGTGGAGATTATAGGGGATTAAACGAGGAAATGCTGGGGTTTGAGAAGGGAAGGGTCTCATATTTGATGACCTTGGTTTGGATCGCGATATCTTGGCAAGTATGTTCCGTGGGGGCAGTCGGGCTGATATTTATGGTGTCGTCGCTGTTTTCTAACGTGATAGGCACGCTGGGGTTGCCACTTGTGCCGGTATTTGCTGTGGTTTTCTTTGGGGATAAGATGGATGGGGTGAAGATTGTGGCTATGTTGATTGCAGTGTGGGGGTTTCTATCTTACATTTATCAGCATTACCTTGATGATTCTAGGCTGAAGAAGGATAATAGAAGAACAGGGGCATTATAGTGAGTGGTATTCAATATGTTGTTGCTTACTTAATTTAGACTCTTATCTGGTGAGCGATGGACGAGCCTCGACATCAGTGGGAAATTTACTCTCTTGGTGCGGGTCCGGGCGGGGCGTTCTGATCCATAGAGATGCCAAGTAAGAGGAAAGGTTCGACATTCCACTCTCAGAAATTTCGACACGCACCGTCTCTGGTATGCCTCAGATCTACCGCACGTGGTGGGCCTCTGATAGGATTTCTACTCCTCTCTCTGTACCGTTGTACCACATTTTGCCCCACGCATCTATCGTGCGCGCTAGGTTACAAGTCTTCATATATGCTTTGATATCCATCAACAGAATTGAATCACCATTCTCCAATCTGTTGATGTTCGTAGGCTCAAAAGTTTTTTTTTTCAAATTGAAAGTTTAAACCATGTGCGCCTTTATGCGTTGACATGAGCAAAACGACGTCTTTATTTCAGGATGGGGATGTGAGAGGCTTAAACAATGCCATCCAAAGTTTTTTCTTTTTTCTTTTTTCCTTTTTTTTCCCTCCTTTTTTACTTTTGCCCCCCATATGGTTGAGCACTATAACTGTAATAGGTTCGCTAAAGGCAAAAGGGTCCTTATTCTCCGTAAAAAGAACAAAAGTGAAGCTATTGCTAGACGTATGTGCTGATTCTGAAAATTTTTTGTTCAATTAGATGGTGAAGCGTGGATATCTTAAAAACTAAGAAAGTTTAACTATAATTATTGTAGTTAGCAAGAAGGAAGCAACCTTGAACAGGCTCCAAGTTTAGTACACGTCTCGTATATATATGGGTATGTTTGGTACCAAGCACAAGTTTTTGTGCTTGGTAGTGACGTGACATATTCTCCACCGCTCATTGAAATTGGGGTCCACATTCACATGCGTTGAAGAGTTATTGGGAATTGAAATGAATGGGTGGAAATAAGACACCTCACTACCAAGCACAAAATTTGTGCTTGGTACCAAACATACCCATTTTTCTCACACACACACACACACACACACACACATATATATATATATATATATATATATATATATATATATATATATATATATGAGATTAATGAGTATCCTTGTTATAGGAGGATATTTTCCTCATTGTCGCCTATGTGGCACAATTCTCACCATCCTCATAAAGCAGGCACAAATCATCATCAACTTACACTCTCTCTCCTACTTTATAAGTATGAATTATTGCTACTTCACGTTATAACAAATGAAATTACGTTTTTCTTTATAGAAAAAAGAATAAAATATGAGAAATTAAGGGGACCCCATTGTTTGAATCATCAATGGATATAGAACCTTCTCCTCCAGTTCTCCAATTAAGCATTAATTGGTCATAATACCAACTTTGTCTACCCCCTAATTCTGAATCAAAGTCGTACGCGTTTGCCATTGCGTTGAATTTAGAAGGCGTCCAATAATTTGGGGACGGAGATAATGCAAGTACGTGTACATAATCTGTGAATAGTCTAGAGAGAGAAAAAAGAGAGAGAGAGAGAGAGAAAAAAGAGAGAGAGAGAGAAGCATCGATTCAAGCTTGTCCGTGTCAATGAATGGTCGGCCTAGCCAGTCCAATACATCGGTCATGAACACGACTTCGATGCTACATCACGCAATCAAAACCTCGTTCTAGATTTTAGTTGACTGCCTACAGTTGCTCGGTGTTTTGTCTCATTGTGAGCTTACACTGTTAGTTGGACACCTATCAGATTTTTTTTTTTTTCCCCGTTGGACGTAGTTGACGTGTCGTGCTTTTTCAATGATCCACACTCTAATACGAGTACTTGATTAAAAATACAAATTTTATCAGAACAATCAACATACGAGCATAACCACCACTGATCATTCTGATAGGAATAGTTATGTAAATAAAAAGCACGGATTAGACAATCAATGGTATGTTTTTCTTCTCATTTCTAGACGTCAGGGGAAAAAATAATAACCCGTTGCGGCAGATGAGCGGTATTCAACGGCCGACTTCTGCGTCTCCGCTCCCTTCACCCCCCCAAAAGTCTCCAGGGCTCTATACAAAAGTCTTTGTTATGGATTTTTCTAATAAACCATTGACTGTGTTTCCTTATGACTTTTTGTGCTTATTTTCTAGTACACGGGCCAAGGTGAAGGATGGAAAGTTCAGGAATATTGAGTCGAATATTCCGATAATTCCACGCCGTAAAAAAAAAAATCAAAAAGAAGGCCTACCGTTTATTCTCATTTTTTCACTTTGATGCCTCCATAGCTAGCTACTCTCTGTTGACACTTCGATACTCCAAAGTTTCAATCTCGTATCATTTTGATATGCATATGTTAGATTTCTTATTCACTAGCGAACCGGAATAAGAAAAGGAATAAGAAAAGGAAAATGATTAGTCTCCTCGGTTAATAATAATAACAATAGAAAGGAACTTTCTAACCTAACCCACCCACCAAACATAATTAATTTACGTCTCCTCTAATTTAGCATAATATATTGATTAATTGGTTGGGAGAACCTTGCGTGAGAGCGAGCATAAATGCTATTCTCTTGATGTTTCGGAAAGCATAGACGAACAACGACTTATGCGCATGGCTTATCAAAGATGAGTCGCATAATTGATAGATTTCGGCAAATTAACAAAAAAAATAAATACATCAATGACACGTTTCCGTTAAGCGTGTGTCTATGTCTAAACATTAAATATTTAACTATATAAAATATGGTTTTTCTATAGAGTGCCCATGGACACTCTATAAGAGAGGAGAGAGAAATGAATTATGAACAGAAATTAATGTAAATCAGGAGGGACCCATGAGCTATTCATTTCTCTCTATCTCTCTCCTCTCTTATAGACCTCTTACGTTTTTATTAGAGAAATAGAGTGGCTGGAAAGTTGGTCTGTTTCTGTAATAAAAAAGAAAGAGAGTTTATTTTCAAAGAAAAAAGTTAGTTTGGGGCTAGTTTAAAATTTTCTTCATTTAATCTGTAACACGGATATTAGAAATGAATTCTTTTTCTAAATAGGCTGCTCCGAAAGTCAATTTGGCATAAAATCCCAGTTGACTTGAAGGTTTCGTAATAACCCTCTCTCGCCAGCGTCTGTTGATTAATGTTATTCAGTAATTATTCGCCATAAATAGAATAATAGGGGATCTATTCGCCTATTATTGGAATTGGGTGGTACTAAGTTTTTTGCTTTAAGATTATTGGAAAAAGTTCACCAAGGCGGTGCAAAATCCACCAGGGCCAATACGGCAGGGGATCTATTCGTCATAAATAGAATAATAGGGGATCTATATGCAATTGGGTGGTATGAAGAGGCCTATTCGCAATTAACCTTACACACAAACTGTCGCAATAAATTAATTCATGATGCACTAAATCCAGTATTTAAGCAAAACCATTAGACAAACAAAAGGAGTCAAAGATTTGATTTTTAGTTAGGTTAACATTTGCATAAAACCCCCCAGAAGAATTAATTCACCCAGAGGCGCAATCCTCATCCTTTAATAAAAACGAAAAGTCATTTTCTTCGAAATGTCCTGCGTGCGTATAACATTACATTCAATCACCTTCTATTTCTATGTACAAAATTATTCCGAACTTTATCCAATTTCTGTAATTAAAAAAAACAAAACTAAGCCCAATTTTTGTAATTTTTAAAAAAAATTATTGAAATCACCAAAGCCTACCGCGATCTGTCAATTTCCTCGACCGGTTCGGCCCAAAGGAAGCACTAGCGCCCGACACGTGTCGGTTCTGGCGCGTTGCTTCCTTCAGCTCGCCGGAGATCCTAGTCGGCGCCTGACTCCGCCGAGAGCTGCCCAGGCATTATATCCGGACTCAAACAGAACGTGAACCCCGAGATTGCTCCGCCGTTGCGGAAGTGGCGCTCCGCCGCCGCTCTCTTCGCAGCCGCCGCCGCCTCCTCCACGTGGCGGGCGGAGGACTCCGTCGAGTAACCGCTCTCCGACGCGCCGTCGTCCGTCTCCCTCCCCCCTCACCGGCGACAATCCTCGATCCGAAACACAACGATCTCATCCGTCGCCGCAGTCGTCATCGTTGTCTCTTCTTCTTTTCTTTCTCCGGCGTGGATCAGCGATGAAGAACCAAGAACCGTTCACGGCAGGCGGAGGATTCGGATTCATGCGGATCTATGATCGCGGTGATGAATACACGAGACGTAAACGAGTGAATCTGCCTGCATACGCGATCGCGACGGGTAGAATCGGCGGGGCGGCGGCGGCGATCTGGAGACGCAGCTGTGCGGAGGCGGCGTCGAATCTTCGACCGGCGGTGGCCGACGTAAGGGGAGACGCGAGCGCGGTACAGGATCGAAGGCGAGGGTTCCGGTGGAATTCTCAACGGCGAGGTCCTAGTCAGCTCGCCTCACGCGAGAGGCGATCATGCTGAGGCAGGAGCGCAGACCGGGTGGCCGGAGCCTTGGCTCGTGATGGAGTGACGCTTGCAGCTGTCGTTCATCACGTTCCTTTCGCGCGCCATTGGAGAGAAGCTCGAGGATTCAATAATTAGGGTTAGGGTTTCTTCTGTTCAATTCTCGTTCTTGTTTCCTTTTCATTTCTAATTTTGGTCTTATTTGCGGAGGAGGGGGAGGATTTTATTTGGGAAATTACGTTCTGGTGAGTTGCCGGAGCAGTTTAGGTTAACGTAGGGCGCATCGTGTCCGAGACTGGGCGCGGGGTTGAATAAAGTCGTTGAATTTTCCTCGAGAGGAGGGAAAGGTTGTCGACGGCAGTACAACCGAAGCAAGATTATTTTTTCGGCTTTTATTTATTTTATTAATTTATTTATTAAGGTAGCAAAACCGAAGTAATTCTTTTTTATTTTCTTTAATTTGATTTATTTTTAAGGTTTTGATGCCACCTTTGAGGTTCGTTCAGCTCTCCCAGCTTGAAGGAATCAGCTGTTTGACTGAAATATTTACGGGGTCAATTTGAAGTCCTAAAAATGAATCGGAAGGAAATTGTATTGTTTGCATCTAGCTTGTACGTAGAGATTGATGCTTCTTTGCTATTTTAATTTTCCTCGTAGGATTCAGTTGAAAGTTTAAAAATGTAGCAAATTTTATCATATATTTCTGTTATAAGCTTGTTAAGATTATGTGTACCGGAAGATTGCTGAATAAATTATATTTTCTAACATAAATAGGCCTATACGGAATTGAAAACAACATTTTCTAGAGCATTCTTTAACAGAGAGATGAGTGCGTTGATCTTAATTGTCAATTGTTTATTAGATGGCTGTGATGTGTTTTTTAATTTAAACTAGGAATAAGTACAATTTATAATGTATGTTACTTATAGAGTATAATTATACATTAATTAATTAATGATTATAATCAAAAGTAGTGATCTCTTCGCTGCTTTTTGACAGTAAACATGATCAAAATCCTTTTT